CTTTTTTTTTTTAAAAAAGGTGCATGTTCTGAGTATAAGCATTTGATATGGTTTTGATTTTAAATTGGGAATAAAATATGGGTTTATGAGATTTGCAAATCATTTTTGGAATTGGGGTTGTATATTTTAGCCTTTATACCACTTAACTCTATACACTGCTTCATTCTGTACACTGTGCTGTAAATTCTATACTCTGCACACTATAAGTTGCATAGACCACCCTGCTTCATTCTCCGATGTGGGCATATTCTGTTTCACACTGCTCATCTCTGTCAAGTATGTATTTTGTATTGCGACTTTGTATATTGTGCTGTAAAATATGCAATTCACAACACTCCACTACACTGTACAATACATACTCCACATCAGTCTTTACATTGTGCTGTACAATATATACTGCACAATGCTCCACGCTGATGTCCATCCATGAATACACACTGCTGTAAATTCTATACTTCACATTATACACTCTGTTTTAAGTTATATACTCCATAACTACATATTGTGCCCCCTTTGACTCAGCAGATTGCATTTCTTTTGCCTCTTGGCTTATTTTGCTAGCATTACTAAGCCAAATATGACAAGGCCCCATAGCATATGATTTTCTGTTATAGCTTGCATCGCATCCATAATCTGAACAAGCAGTTGTACAACAGCTGCTCCTGGGTTATGTAAGCACCGAGCAGGAATTCTAGAAACCCTCTATTCCCATTACCTCTATCACTGGAGAATTTCACTTACTTTTCTTTCCTTTGTAGTCTACGTCTCATTTTCTAATTTAGCTGCAATACCCTGATTGCTCTTTTAGATGTACTTCCACTGACAGTAATATATGCCCTTCTCTCTGGTGATTATCATAATTAGGATCCCTCCTCTCTCTCCACTGCTATATTTTAATTTCTTCATTTCGTACCCATATTCCTCTCCCCATGGGTGCAAATTCTTTTATGGCAATTTTCTGGTAACAGAATGAAAAGACCAATGACAAATACAAATGTTTCATTAGAGAGCTTTTTTCCCCAAATATTTTTTCACATTTGTAAAGTGAATTTTTGTGAGACTGTATTCACCGTATTCTAACTTGCAAGGTTAGAGGAGAGACATAGGAAGCTGATTATTGCAGATATTCTTCAATAAGTAAAGGTGTAAAATTAGCTGTAGGTTTAGGGGTTAGGTTAAAGATGGGAGTTACATTTAGGTATTAAAGGATAAGTTAACCTTTTAAAAAAAATAATAAATGCACATCTCTTTGCGGGAAAAAAGAAAAAAAAAAAGAAAAGTGCATTTATTTATTTTTATTAGGAGCCTGTAAAACAATGCACCTGTGATCAGCTGATTGTGAGTGCAATGCATGGCTTCTGCAGACTATCAGTGTAAGCAGTCTACTCATATCTCATATAGGCAGGTAGTTTCATAATGAGAGGATCCATCAAAGAACTATGTACAGCAGAGCGCTCACCAGCGCTCTGGTAGCTCATTGAAAACTAGTCGTCAGCCACAAAGGCTATGATAGTTGTAGTTTTCTCATTCACAGATAGTTTGGGAGAAGATCCCTGGCTCGCTGTCACTAGAGGCGTCAGATTGGGGAGAGGTCGCAGCAGTGGAAACACGTTACATATTCCACTCTAAAAGCAGGTGGAACATGTAGCATTTTCCCAAAGATGAACTTATCCTTTAAGCCAACATGTTGGGCTAGGTTTAGTGACTGGGCTTATGTGAAAGAAAAACTGTCAGTACAGAAATGTATCAGATGGTTTGTCAGTATAGAGATCTGAGAGCTGGCACCGATAGTTTGTTTTTAAAGGTACAAGCTCCAGGGCTGTTAGCATTATTCTTGCATCATAATTTAGCAGTACAATAATTTCAACAAGCATCTCCATATTGGATACATTTTCCAATTAGAATCTCAGGCAGCACTGAAGAATCAGAGTGACAGCCCAAAAAAAAAGCAGTGCAAGCACAACCATAGAAATAAGTCTACAATGGTACCCTGAAACGATCCAGGACTCCAAGCCTTGCCCAGGTCTCACAGAACATGGAAAAAATGAACAGTCCTCAGGAAGGAGTGTGGTGATTGAGACTTAATGAGATCACAAATACAAGGGGCCATACCACTATGGATCATATGAAGCCATTACAATCTGAACTCATTTTGGGATAATTGATCAGTGGATCTGAAAGTGCTGACTAAGCAGTAGAGAAAGGATCAGGAAGACAATGAGCTTGCTCTGTTAAAAAGTCAGTAATACATCTTCCTTATATCATAACTGGTTTCAGCTCAGGTATGGTAAGCAATGGAGTAGACTTGAAACAATGGAGGGTGGGGCATAAATATCTGACTTGCTCTTAAAATGGTTATCCTCCAAGAAAGGCTGTACACTTACCACGTCACACCATAGATGGTTATTCCACCACACTGGTGTACTGGTAGTTACTGCCTATGGCCATGCCCCTCTAAAGTGCTTCACCTTGATTTGGCTTAATCATATGGGTGAAATATATTGGGGGGCATGGCCATAGGTGTGGATTACCATTAGGCCAGTCTGGCGGGATAAACATCTGTGGTGTGACCTTTCTTGGATAACAGCTGTGGATGCAGAGAGGGGAAGGGCTCTAGAGCCACACACCTCTATCAACGTGCATCTACTGTAATGTAGAGCCCTACAACTGATCTATAAAAGTAAAGCAGTTGGACATACACTATACAGAAATGACTAAAATTGGTACCCAATGGTGGAATCTGGTAATGCCGGGCAATCATTATACTACGTTTTTGGAACAACCATTGAAGGGCCATCATAAACCACACAGCTACTGTATAACAATCACTGAAGGGCCATTATAAGACACACTGCTTTCGTATTGCAACCACTGAAGCGCCAACAAAAGACACACTGATCCAATAAGCCAACCACTGAAGGGCCAACTTAAAAAAAAAACCCACTGCTTCTGTATCACAACCACTAAATGGCAACTGTATAAACACACTGCTTCTGCATGACAAACACAGAAGTGCAATTGTATAATACACTATGGGGGGGGGGGGGGGGGATTTGCTAAAAATGGAGAGTGCAAAACCTGGTGCAGCTCTGCATAGAACCAATCAGTGTCCAGGTTTTATTGTCATAGTTTAATTGAACAAGCTGAAGCTAGAAGCAGATTGGCTAACATGCACAGCTGCACCAGATTCTGAGTACACCAGTTTTAGTAAATCTCTCCCATTATGTCTGTATAACAACCATTGAAGGGCAATCATACTGCATATCACTTACTGTATGGCAAGCACCTACACTCAGACTTTGCAGAAATCTAGGCAAGCAGCTTAAAAATAAATTCCATGGAAAAGAAGACTGCTCCCTTTCAGTGGGACTTCCCCAGCACTGCAAGGGTTGAAGGTTCATTTATGCCCAGGGTAACACAGACTTTTTTCTTATTCCTACAAATAAAAGAATGGCTTCACCAGAAGGGAGTCAAACCTTAAACTTGACTTCAACTGAACATCTGTGGGGTGACCTGAAGAAGGTTGTGCACAGGAGAGATGACCTCAAAATCTGACGGATTTTGAGTACCTTTGCAAGGAAGGTGGGCAAAGATTCCCAAGGTAAGATGTGCCATGGTGACAGAATCCTACCCCAAAAGACTGAACACTGTTATAAAATCAAAAAGTGTTTCAAGAAAGTATTAGTTCAAGGTTGTGCATGTTTTATGCAACCATGCTATTCTAATTTTTTTGTTATATTTTCCCCTTTAAAGATTTCAGTTTGTTTTTAGTTGAATTACACAGATTATACACTCATTGGCCACTTTATTAGGTATACCTCGCTAGTACCAGGTTGGACCCCCTTTTGCCTTCATGCTTCATTGCTTACATTCAACAAGGTGTTGGAAACATTCCTCAGAGATTTTGTTCCATATTGACATGAATTACTGTTGCCTTTCTATCATCTCGAACCAGTCTGCCCATTCTCCTCTGACATCAACAAGGCATTTTCATTCACACAACTGCCAGTCCCTGGATATTTTCTCTTTTTTGGACTATTCTCTCTGCAAACCCTAGAGACAGTTTTGCATGGAAATCTCAGCAGATCAGCAGTTTTTTTACATACTCAGGCCAGTCCATCTGGCACTAACAACCATGCCACCTTCAAACTCACTTAAATCCCATTTCTTCCCAATTCTGATGCTCAGTTGGAACGTGTCTTCACCCCGTCTAGATGCCTAAAGGCATTGAGTTGCTGCCATGAAATTGGCTGATTAGCCATTTGTGTTACCAAGCAATTGAACAGGTGTACCCAATAAAGTGGCTGGTGAGTGTAGGTCACCTTTAAGGTGGTAAAATTAAGAAGTGACTTAGCTTTGGTCTTTTTTTAGATCTCAAAATCCTGGCATTTTACAGGGGTGTGTAGACTTTTTCTATCCATTGTATACAAAGGCAGGTTAGGTGCTTCGGTTAAGTTTTTCTCTATTGCGGAACAAACACGCGATTCCTATTATATGTATATACATACTGAGAGGGAGACAGAATGTGTGTGATGTCTCTGCATGTTTAAATTGTTACAATTTGTTCATCTAATTAATAAAACTGGGGTTCACACAGAGTACAAATCACTATAATTTAAGCAACTACTCTTCTGAGCGCCAGCAAAAGAACGTAACACTGCTATTACTTATTCTTAGCATCAACTACAAACCTGCTTAAAACTCCAATATCCTAATAACAATAATGATAACAATTTTAATAACACTTGTCATATAGATTTATAAAAACCATACATCAAATTTTTGCAGCAAGATGTAGGCAGGTGCTACAGACCAAATGTGACAAATGTCAAGAACAAAAAGCCCAATGAATCACAGCGCTAACCATGTTTCCAGCTTAATTAGCCAAACAATTCACACAAAATTGTTCTTTTGTTCGATAAACATACTAATTAGGTAAAAATCAAGGAAAACACCACAAATAATAAAAAAAAACAACTTGCTAGGTTTATTGTTTTTATTTAAAGGGATTCGTGAGGTCTGTGTTTTTTCCTGTCAGTAAGTGTACTTGGCCGCAGCTCCCCAGGCCCATGTGCGTAAGGGCACTTGCAGGCGACACGAGGGCAGCCGTTAGGGTGGTTTACATAAAACCAGCACAGTCTTGTTTTTAAAACATCGGGTAAAAGTCTTTTTTTTTGGCTTCCGCTTTGGTTTTGTTTGATGGCGTTTTCTCATCTTGGCTCCAGTCACGTATAGAAACCCTGGAATTCATGACTGCAAAATAAAGACAATACATGAAGAGAATTAAAACTACACACAGAATTAATGCATTTTAAAGGGTAATTGCAATTGTGTAAACCCCACTTTAATTTTCATTATGTGCACAGATTACATATTACTCCACAGCCCCCTCCTAAACATTACAAAGCAAGGAAACCATGTAATTTCTGAACGCTTGTGGACTGCCTCCTGTAGCTTTACTACTACAGGGCGGCAGCTGGATCGCATAAAGTGAAGGAAATAAGTATTTGATCCACTGCTGATTTTGAATGTTTGCCCACTCACAAAGAAATGATCAGTCTAAAAATCGAATGGTAGGTGTATTGCAACACTGAGACAGAATAGCAACAAAAAAATTCAAAAGAAATGCATGTCTAACAAATTATGCACAGATTTGCATGTTCATGAGGGAAATAAGTATTTGTTCCCCTATCATTCAGCAGGATTTCTGGCTACCGAGTGTCTTTCATACAGGTAACAAGCTGAGATTAGAAGTCTCTTAAAAAGAGTGCTGCTAATCTCATTTTGTTACCTGTATAAAAGACACCTGTCCACAGGAGCAATCAAACAATCAGATTCCAAGCTCTCCACCATGGCAATGACCAAAGAGCTGTCCAAGGATGTCAGGGACATGACTGTAGACCTACACAAGGCTGGACTGAGCTACAAAACTATCGCAAGCAGTTTGGTGAGAAGGTGACAACGGTTGGTGCAATCATTCGCAAATGGAAGAAACACAAAACAACTGTCAGAGTCTCCCTAGGTCTGGTGCACCATGCAAGATCTCACCTCGTGGAGTGTCAATGATCATGAGAATAGTGAGGAATCATCCAGAACTACATATGAGGATCTTGTCAATGATCTCCAGGCAGCTGGGACCACAGTCACCAAGAAAACAATTGGTAACACACTACGCCGACAAGGAATGAAATCCTGTAGAGCCCGTAAGGTCCCTCCTGCTCAAGAAAGCACATGTCCAGGCCCGCCTGAAGTTTGCCACTGAACATCTGAATGATGCAGAGGAGGACTGGTTCAAAGTGTTGTGGTCAGATGAGACCAAAATCGAGCTCTTTGGCATCAACTCAACTCGCCGTGTTTGGAAGAGGAGGAATGCTGCCTATGATCCAAAGAACACCATACCAACTGTCAAACATGGTGGTGGAAACATTCTGCTTTGGGGGTGTTTTTCTGTGCTAAGGGGACAGGACAACTGCACCGCATCAAAGGGACGATGGACTGGACAATGTACTGGGTGAGAACCTTCTTCCCTCAGCCAGGGCACTGAAAATGGGTCGTGGATGGGTGTTCCAGCATGACAATGACCCAAAACACACGGCCAAGGCAACAAAGGAGTGGCTCAAGAAGAAGCACATTAAGGTCTCCAGACCTTAATCCTTTTTAAAATCTGTGGAGGGAGCTGAAAGTTCGAGTTGCCAAATGTCAGCCACTAAACCTTAATGACTTGGAGAGGATCTGCCTAGAGGAGTGGGCCAAAGTCCCTCCTGAGATGTGTACAAACCTGGTGGCTAACTACAGGAAACGTCTGACCTCTGTGATTGCCAACAAGTGATTTGCTGTACCAAGTCATGTTTTGTGAAGGGGATCAAGTACTTATTTCCCTCATGAACATGCAAATCAGTGCATCATTTGTTAGATGTGCATTTCTTTTGAATTTTTTGTTGCTCCTCTGTCTCTCAGTGTTACAATACACCGACCATTCGATTTTTAGACTGATCATTTCTTTGTGAGTGGGCAAACATTCAAAATCAGCAGGGGATCAAATACTTATTCCCTTCACTGTATGTTTACGTGATCCAGCATTTCTGGGTAGGGGGGTGTCCCGGCTGTGCTGTGATTCATTACAGCACAAGCCGATCACCGATCAATTGAGTGAATGACAAAACAGAGCTCTTTGTTGACTTCCACAGAGCTATGTACGGACAGCAGCAATTTGATGATTTTTTTCTCCTTGCAAAGCAGTACATAAAAACAGGCACACCGCTTAGTAAATGAAGCACATACTACACACAGTAAACAATGTTAGACACACAGTTAACCCTTTGATTGCCTCTAGATGTTAACACCTTCCCAGCCAGTGTCATTAGTACAGTGACCGTGTATAGTATTAGCACTGATCCCTGTACTGGTGTCACTGGAGGTGTCAATGACAGTCAGTTCACACAACGTTTCAGTGTCAGATTGCCCACTGCACTATCACAGTCCCAGTATAATGGCAGGAATACACGGTAAGAAAATCGACCGATTGGTCATCCGGCGACCAATCGGCAATCGTTGATCGAAACTGTAGCCCACATTAACCAATCGAAAAAAAATCGTTCATCGAGCAATACGTAGTGTTGACATCTTCCATACAAATGGAAGTGATGCAGTGTGCATGTGACCTTGTAGCCAAGCCCTTCCACCCAGAACGAGCGATTGGACATAAATCCTTGGAATTAATTGGATTACATTGGATTTATGAATCCTTGAACATCTGGACATAATTGGATTTATGGATCCTTGGGTTATAAATATCTGGGTCATCTTCTGTTTCTGCTCATAAGTGATAGCGTTTGATAGATTTTTTTTCGGACGACTGTCAGACCACTGCATAGAAAATCGGTTGTTCGCATGCGAAATGACAACATTTTTCACTTTTCAACCGGATTTTTTCGTTCAAAATATCGTTATTAGTAACAACATCCTGCTCATCAACGAAGATAAAATTGGTAGATCATTTGACCAAATAAATTTTTCTAATTTCTTACCATGTATTCCTGGCTTTAGTCTCTGATCACCGCGATTACTAGTATGAAAAATAAATAAAAATTCCAGTATATATCCCATAGTTTGTACACGATATATCCCATAGTTTGTGCACGCTGTAACTTTCATGCAAACCAATTTACACTTCTTGGGATTTTTTTTTAACTAAGAATATGTAGCAGAATACTTTTTTGGCCTAAATTTCTGAAAAAAGTTGATTTAATTTTTGTTATCGGATATGTTTTATAGCAGAAAGTAAAAAATTATTTTTATTGCAACATTTTTTGTGTTTTTTGTTTATATAATAAAAAAACCCAGTGATTATCAAATTACACCAAAAGATAGCTCTGTGTCAAAAATTATAGCAGTTTCATTTGGGTACAATGTTGCATGACTGTGCAATTGCCAGTTAAAATAGAGCAGTGCCGAATAGTAAAACATGGCCTGGTCATTAAGGTGGCAAAATCTTGAAAAAAAAAGCTTAAAGCGGAGTTCCATCTGAAAAAAAAAGTCAGCAGCTACAAAAACTGTAGCTGCTGACTATTATTACCTGTCACTTACCTGTCCCTCGGTCCAGCGGTGTTCTCACAACAGCTGCTTTCACTGACCGTCTTCTCTCCCTGGCGCCAGCATCTTCAGTGTGGGCACCCGGCTGTGACAGCTTGCGGCTTCATAGCCGAGTGCCCACTGCGCATGTGCGAGAAGCGCTGCTCTTTGTGAATGGTCCCGTAGTCTTCTGGGACCTGTCACGTGTCCCAGAAGACTATGGGGGGGGAGGACAACTTCCGTTTCCGATCATCTGGGCAATTGCAGCGGAAGTGGGAGCGGGTACCTGAAAATTTGGGTACCCACTCCCCAAAGGTGCCAATCCTTAATGGGGAGCGGGGGACAAAGGCTTAAAGTGGAACTTCCCCTTTTAGGTGGAGCTCCGCTTTAAGTGGTTAAGCAAGTAGAAAGCACCTAATGTAAGCAGCATTTTGTACATTCCTTTTTCAGTTATGCTATGTTAATGAGAACGTGTAACAAATATAAAGCAAATGTTATCCCAATTTGACTGCAAAAGTGGAAATGCACTTTAAGTAAAATTTAATAACATATCAAAACAGCTGTGCCACGTGTCAGGTCCAGGCATTTTGCAGGTTTATGCATTTCTCTCACCAATATAGCTCAGACACCAAATTTTGGCCCTGATCCAGGTGCGATTTTATCCACGCATTTTGTCACGATTCCAAATTGTCTCTATGAGAAAGGGTCCTTACTGTTCAAGAATCTATTCAACTGCACCTTAGTGACTTATTGATGTAAAACTGAGCGACATATTTTTATTATCTTTTTTGAAAACAAAAAAAACCTATTGAAACAGGAACGCATTCTAGATCTGGAGTATTAGGGCTCATACACACGTGCTTTGTACTTTGAAAAGCAGTCTGCGTTTGGATTGCTCTTCAGAGAGTATTTAACAGTTGGTGAGGATTGCTTTCACCACTCGGAACTCTGCACTAGCATGCCGCAACCGAATGTGCTGCACGATGAAGAGCAGCCCCATTCAAATTTGAATAGGTCGCGCTTGGCAGGTGCCACGCTTGCCAAACATGACAGTGGGCATAATTCCTGCTGCAGCCATGACGCAAAGCATCTGCTTCTGTAGCTAAGGGAGGAGAGGTGGGGGCAGTATAACTAGGGATCAACCATGGGGTTTCACTGCCCCCCAACCTCCCGTGTAAACGAGTCCTTAGAGTAGCTGCAGGCTGTGGAGAGAACTCTTCATGATTCATCTTTCACTCACAGCCATTCATATCAGACACCTCAGCTGCCCCACCCGTTAAGGAAATCACTACAATGATAAAAATCAGGCACCTGAAGGATACGTTTACCTTTGGAACATATTACATGTCCCAGCGGTATGTACTTTTAATTATAAATCCACATTTTTTTCTGCAAAAATATATGCATTTATAATGTTTTTCTGAAAAGGTGAACTTAGCCTTTAAAGCAAAACTCCAGCCAAAAAAGGATAAAAAATGAATAGCCCATTGAATTAATTGAAGCTGAATATTCTAGCAGCTTTTGTTAGAGTTTACATCCACAGTACTTTTCTTCCTGCCACTAGATGTCCTCAATTTGATGTCTAGAACTATTCAACCTACTTCCTCTAAGGCCCACGGGTGTCAAACTGGCGGCCCTCCAGCTGTTGCCAAACTATAAGTCCCATGAGGCATTGCAAGAAT